TCCTGGGGGAGGAGATGAGAAGGAGAGCCCCTCTTACCTTGGGGGACTATGCAAAACTAGGAATAGGGTTGTAACACTGCTACTTAGAGTTACTTTAAGCTTTAGTTTTGAGTATGAATCATTGTTTGCTAGGCATGCTGCTTTTTGAGCTGTTTCTAGATCGGTACTCTAGCTGATGGGAACCCTCCGGAATGCTACGGTTTTGAGGGTCCATGCTTTTAAGCCAATTCCGGCTGATATGAACTCCTCTCCAGTTTCTCCTGGTTTTCTGGACCCTTGGTTTTAGGCTGCTTCCGGTTGGCTAACTTCTCCGGTTGGAAGCCTTCCCTGGTTATCATGGACATCGGGATCTGGAAAAACAATCCTGGGCGAGTTTGTGTGAGTGTGCGAGTAGGATGGGCGAAATTTAGGCGAGTCACGCTTGATGATGATGATGACGCGTTAAGCAAGTAACACCAGGAAGCAGAAGCAGCAACAGCAGCAGCACGCCAAGCAGCAAGCATACTTGGAAGCCATCCTTGCAAAATCGATTTTTTTTTGTTCCATTATATCAGTGGTGTATGTATATGTATATATATATATGTTTGCGGTGCGTTCTCAATTATTGACAGAACTTAAACTCATGCTCCTTTGTGTATGTCTCTGTCTGTCACATGCATATTTCATGTCTGTCCACTTATTGTCAACATGTGTATGTGTGTCTGTGTTTGTCACAATGCTTGATTTGTGTCTGTCCACTTATGTTGCTGTGTATGTGCATGCATGTATGTATGTTTGTCTGTCTGTATGCGCTCATTAAATTTGTTTTATTTTTCAGGACTTCTTCGGCACCGCTGTGTTGTTGTGGTAGTGCTGTTGCTGCTGCTGCTGTTGCTACTGCTGCCGGTGGTGATGGTGCTATTTGTCCGAAGACCCCCTCTAAAGGAAGGAGGTAGGGAGGGAATGGGAGAAATTGTGGATTGCGCCGACTTTTGTTGACATGGCAGGGCAGGCGTGTAGCAGCACAGGCAAGCAGAAGTACTAGTAGCTGCTGCTTGATATCATTTCCCACCCCACAAAATACATTCATCCTGTAATTTTCACTTTTTTTTTTTCTAAACACACTCAATTCACCATTGGAGCAGCAACAGCAGCAGCAGTGGTGATGGTGGTACTAACATCCCTATAAATCCTACTGGTCATCTGTACAGTCGATAGAGTAATTCTCTAACTATGCAGCTGACACTTTTTCCACCAGTGCTGCTTCATCTGGTGGTGATCAGTCTACCACTGGCGATCCTAACATTCGTTTCATCTTCTGAAAAAATACCATCTCAGTGGTTTCTGAACATTTAGCATTTGGCACAGTTTCAGCCATTTCAAAATATCGTTGGTGAAGGGACGAAGCTCAACTCCTCGTCTCGAACTTTCTCCATTCATTTAGATCTCAGTGGAGTGCCTAAACGAATAAAGATCGATATCTCCCGGATATTAATTAAATGAATCTCTTGATGTTACTAAGATTTAACTCAAACAAACCAATTTGGCCAAAAATGTCACTGGACTGAAGCTAACTTCATTCAATGCCACAGTTAAATAATGAGACGCTGATCGAAGAGCCAGTAAGATTAGGCGTTTTTGCGGTAAACTGCTACTTTTTTGGAATGGGCAACAGAATTCACAGTTCTTTTTACGTACACACCAACATAGTTTTTTGACCAGTTTGTCGGATAATAATATGCAGCCTAGTATCACTGGATGAAGATTAAGATCTTGTCGTGTGCATGCTGAGAAACTTTTTGTTGGCATGGTTGCATAAGACCGACTGTATCTGCGTGTTGGCAGATTTTTTTGAGTTTTTGCATTGTCGGGAACGGTACTGCTAAATTTGGACTACCCAGGCTTTGTAGTTTCGGAAATAAGTCATAGCAGCGATAGATCCAGGTTCACACATGCATATTTGAACATTATACCAGACCTCATACAAAAACGTAAAAAAGAGGACTGATTATGATTTGGCATAAGATGATAGTACACCCATCTCCTAGTTCCCCATACTTCTCTTTCTATCCTGAGCTATTGGCAAAAATCGATTATTGCCTAAAACATGAATAAACAAGGATGAAGACAACGGACACGATGAAAGAATAATAAATAACGAGGTAATAGCAGGGCTATCAGCTATGCCACGGCTTGTCATCCAAAAATGAAAACAGCGCTGGGAAGCGCGTGCTTCCTCGGTAGAGTCCCGAATTGGTCGTGGATGGCCGGATATCTGACCTTATAGGCATGAGGATAGATTGCATTCTGACTTACTGGATTTCAGTATGTTTGAAGTTAAACTCCAAAAATCCGGGTGTTTCAACTTTGTTAGTTCCCCACTTTGTAAAATTGACATAACTTTTGGCTGTTTCTGATCGGTGATTAAGAGGAAGAGCTTGTTGATTTTAGCTTTTTTTGGCCTTGTATTCTGATGAAAGTTATTACCCTTAAACTTATTTTGGGCACAGCTACCTGAAAGTTGATTTCAGGTTTTCGGCCTAATGTACAAAATGAGGGACTTCCTTACCAGAACTGCGAGCTTATAGGCTCATTTTGATTTTAAAGTTACAGAATTTATCCGGACGTAGGTTTTTAGTCAAAGGCCTACAACTTCGAGCTCCTCTGCACCATCAGTGTTTTTTCTGCTAAAAATTCGCCCTCCCTGGCTTTCATAGTTGTAAAGTTAAAATTTGGTCAAACAGTCGAAAACGAAGACTGACATGAACTTGCATTAGTTAATGTGTCTTGCCCCATATCACTGATGTAGAAAAAACGCTCGAAAACTCGATTCTCGAGTAATCGATTTCAAAAACTTTTTGAAAGTTTACTTCCTTTCCTCGGCTAACTGGTTCCATTTTTCTAACTGGTCTTCAGCCCTTATTTGCCTCCACTCATCCATCTCATCCTGAACATAACTGAACACGCAGCTGTTATTTGTGAACTGATTTTTAGCATACGGCTTTCAGACCTCCCAGTTATTTGCTGTTTTGATGAGATATGGGAGAGGGAAAAGTAGGAGAGGTGGGGGCGGAGGGGGGGGGGCGGGGGGAGTGAGATAGTTAGTTTTATGATATAATGGTGTCAAAATTTTCAGGACGGGGTGAAAAGTATAGTTGAAACTCGAACTGTTAGAGTTATTTTGAGAAGTATGTTAATGTTTGCTGGGTAGAGGTATTGGTTTGCGGTAAATCCATGCGCGAATTTGACAGCTGGAAGAAGGAAGAGACATTGTTTATGCGCGAATTTTTTATAATAAATTGAACCATGAACTTTTTTTCCAAACGCTGCATAGCTGCTGGTATTATTTTATCCTCGTTCCCGACCTGATATTGATCATTCATGTACGTTTACATTTTCTCAGGTAATTGCGGAGTTTGAGAGGATTGCCACGCTGTAACATAGTTTTCCATTAACTGATGGAACATTTCGTGGTAGTAAGATGATTTCTGAGTTACTGGAGTCGTTGTTTTCAATGAGTTTTTCCTCCTGAAAACGGATACAGTGAAGGAAATGAGGGGGAAACTTAAAGCTTTGAGATGCTATGTTTGGACTATAGTTGTGAAGCTATCTTTGAGCATTTGGCACTCAAACTTGCGATACTGTTTGTTTTTTTTTTGCACAAGACTTGTCAGTATTTCATCGTGTTTTGCATCAGACCCCTCTCCCTTTGCTCGTCCTCCTCGATACCTCTTGCACCTTCCTTGTTCATCTTATTCTACTGTTACCTTTCTGATTTGATAACGTCGATGACTGCCTCTTCGGCGAGGGCATGTTTGACCAGAAGCAGGCGAGAGCATGTTTGACTTCTTTAGCACCAATTTACAATCGAAACAAACGAACCGTAGGATTGGTTGCCTCAGTGGCGGGACGAAACATAGGATTTGGTTACTCGTTTGTTTTTTTTTTTGTTTATTGTTGGCTTTCAGAATTCTTTCTTAATTTTTACAGATGACAGTAAGGTGCCTTCTGTAAAGAGTAGCAGTAACAGCAATAGCAACAGTAATGGCAACGAAATCGGAACATCGTCTACCGACAGAAAGTACCTCAAAAGGACTCAATGGAGCAATGGATACGCATACGCATAACCAAGCACCCAATATCAACGGATTTCAGGAGGTTAGAGTGGTCATTTCATTGTTATCATCATTCCTCGTCGTCGTTATTGTTATTGTTACTGTTATTATTACTATTATTATTATTATTGTTGCTATTATTATCACTATTGTTATTATTATTATCATTATTGTTATTATCGTTATTGTCATCGTTAACACTGTAGTGGAATGTATTTCCGTTGCAACCATTACGAAGTGCTGTAGTGCGTGGGTGAAATGTATATACAATACATTATATATATAATGTGTAATATATATATGTGCATATATATATAAAATGCCATAACTGATCCCCTGTGATTGATTTGTTTAAAAATACAAAGAATACGAGAACCGCTCGGATAATTGTTTGAGGATCCAGTATCGATGATATTGTTGGATGTTCGCATTTTAGTATTAATTACGCATTTTAGCTAGCTTTTTGAATAATCTTCCCCACACTTCTCTAAAAGATTCAAGCTGTAGGTTGACAGACTAAGCATGGTATGCGATCTATATTCCCACATAGCGTTTAGTGTCTGAAATTAGTGATTTGTCGATGCTTTTGGTAATTGTGAAAGCCAAAAAGCTGGGGGCATCATTTTACCTTGCTTCTTTAAACAGTCCTCGCAACAAGGGTATTTAAAAGTAGGATAGAAACCTTGCTCGTGGGGATCTCGGTAACACACCCTTTTTGTGTAACATTGGAAAAGTTATCATTCTTGTTTTTGACAAGAATATTTGTTGTTTCGAACAGTTTCCAGCCAATAATTATTTTCTGCAGCAGGTTTGTTTGCAAATTATTCACGTTGCTAACAAATTTTTGATACAGGTACCACTGAGCTCAACAAAAGTTACCACACGTTAGCATATTTTCAGAACGGGATGTGTCAACAGGTATCCAGCTCATCTGGTAGTACCAGCCAAACCGGTATCGGGAATACCGTTGAGGATGCTAAACAGGCCACAACGAGTGATAATGGTGAGGTTTCGCCAGCCTCCCTACGCCGAAGCACTCGCGCATGTGCGCTGAAGGCTGCCGAACGGATCAAATTGAAGGAAACGCTAACACCTGTGCTGGATGGCGTCGCATCTCATAGCGTATGCTACTTTTTTTTTTCGAGTATATTACCAAAAATACCATAATCACCTGGGCAAACAGTATGCGCATCCCATATTATTGATTTTTATTATTGGAAGGGGGAAGTTGCGCTTGCTTTTTTCATCAAAAAGATGCTTCAAAAAGAACTAACGACGCTTCTGATTCCTTAGCGCATGCCCCTAATCAGCAAAATGAATGCTTTTTTTTCCGCAATTTGAAGTATTGCCTTCGAATTTTCGCATAAAACGACAAACAGCTGCTTCCTAGTGCTAATTTTTGTAGGGCGAAACGTATGTGTCCAGTGACGAACATACCGCTGTCTCATCACCACCTCCGGCAAAGAAGAAGCGCTACGCAGAAGGTCGAATATTAGACCAAACAGACTGTAAATTTGGTATCAAATTGGAGGATGATGAAGTATTACTGATGAGCGACGAGTCCGAGCTGTCCAGTCTCAACGAGGCCGAATTTGACCAAGTCAAGAAAGCCTACGATCGGGTACTGTTCTTTCTGTTTGAACCGTAGCTATACACTTTATTCCAGAGACACAGGAAAGATACGGGAATTGAGTGGAGCGGTACAGTCCAACTGGGAAAGCGCGAAACTTGGCCAGTATACAAAGGCACATCCAGGGCGATTTTCTGGGCGGGGAGAGGAGTGGGGTGGGGGTGGGAGCCGGGCGACGAGGGATGGGGGAATGCCCCGTCCCAACCTGTAACTATGCAAAAATTAGGAATAAAGTTCCAACACTGCCACTTAAAGTTACTTTAGTTTAAAGTTACTTTAGGCTTTTGTTTAGTCTTAACTTTATATTCGGGCCTTCTGCAGCACTGGTGCCTCTGCCGAAAGAGGCAGAGGCACCAGTGCTGCAAAAGGCTCAAACATATAAAATTGAAACTAGACAAAAGCCTCCTTCCCCCGCGCCCTCTCCCCTTGTCCCTCCTGAATCCGGCTACACCAAAATAGCAAGCTTATAGTTGAAATATCCAGATAGCGATTAATTTTTGGCATTGCTCTCGGTCTGAGCTCTTGCTGGTATAAGTTTAGTCCCATTCGCTTTTAGGTCATAGTTATTAACCGGTTAAGGTCATATAGTTGTCAAAGTCATTTGAGTTATTCATGGACAACATTATCTCTCTCACTCCTGTATAATCCCTCTGCTGGATAGATGAAGAACAGGGACAGTGTTGGGGCATTAGTATGGGAATCTCATAGTAGTGGTGTATCGAAATGCTTTGATACACCGGCACAGCTATGCTAGGTCCTTCGATCCTCAGCTGCATACCTCCAGTTAGTACCCACCACTTTTTCGATGTATGTTCACCACCATTTTTATCATATTTAATTAATTTGGTAGCACCGTTCTTATACAGTGTTTGTAATAATCTGATTTTTTAATTATATAATATTGACAGTTACCGAATTTTGCAGTTGCATAATCATATAGAGCCGAATTTCACATATAGTCGCACATCACACCATCTGTTTTCCTTCTACTTTTATGATGATAATATGTAATACTAACATCGAATGCCACACAGATGTCTTTGATATTCTTAGTATTGCACTCTTAAAACAAGCAAAAATTTATGCATTCTTGATAACCTGACCTTCAAAATTTCTTATTTCGCGGCGGTGCAACGCATCTTTCCCTTTCTTTTCCGAACTCCCTCTCTCCCTTGCTTTGTGTTCGGCATGAGCTACTAAACTGTTAAATCCTGTTGGATGTTGGCACAAAGGTAAGTAAAGAAGTTATTTCAGGTGTTGCATCGTGAGGCAGCGGATCATCTAAAGCGAGAGCGCGAACTGTTCGTCAAAACACTGGAAGCCGATTTGCGAAGGGAGGAGGCGAAGCTTTTAATGCTCAGAAAACTTCGAATGACCCAGCAGATTTCTATAAAGCAGGTAGTACATTTTTTCGAACTGGCGTTTTGAATTAGCCTTAAGTTCCTAAATTTCAAGTTTTTCTTTTGAAGAGTCTAAGATTTTACAAAAAATTCTCACCATCAGCTTGTTTCTAAGCAAAAAAAAAAGAAAAAGAAAAAAATTTCCACTACCAAAACCACCGACAACTTTGCAGCGGAAAGCTTGCTGTTGACATTGCTACCATCCGGGTTATTTCAGTGTATTTTCGCCTTTCATAAAGACTCAATACGAAGGGTTTTTGCATTTTTTTGGCAGAGAATTCTTTCTTGAATTTGTCTAGCACTAGCGATCGTGTAGATTATTTAAGAAACCCTGGTTATGCATGGCTGAAGATTCACATTGTTGATGATTGATGTAAATGACACACTGATGACTGTTGCTAAGGATGCATGGAGACCTAAACGTCAGGGTCAGTAGCGTACTGACCATCGATCAACACAGCATTGATCAAAAAAAGAGGAAAAATTCCCAGCTGCATAGGTGGGAAGCCTCACTGGGCATGGACGGGCATAGACACTCAAATGTTACAAGACTCTTTTGACAGAGCATCACAAGCTTAACATGCATTTTAAATCATATGTTAGCAAATCAGAGCAATGAAAAAAACAGAGGGGGAGGGGGAATCGCAGTGCGATATCGTTTGATTTGCGTATTTTTAGATGCAGGATGCGAATGTGCGTAAGCTCACGGCCAACGTTGCTCAAAATGGAAGTGGCCATGCATACAAGCCGCCAGTTGCAGCTGTCCACAATCGCGCCACTTCCAATAGCCATGCAAAAGGTAAGCACCATCATCATCATCATCACCAATAATAAATTTATGTTTTGCGTACTTTAATGCCTTGATCAGTTCCTTGGTCCCTCAGGAGTGCAGCCATAGCCACGTTGCATCGCCTATTAGCGAAACGGCTGGCAAAACTGACGTTCATTTCATTTCCTGAAGAGATTACTCAGTGCCACATGCGAATTGAACACTTTTATCATGCGGTGCTTCAGGTTAGCAATGAGATGCAACCAGGAGTTTTTTCGGATTGGCTTATTCAGAAAATATTGCTGTGGGAAGGTTTAGTAGAAAAATTTAAAGTGCGCAGCATGGGATGAAGGCAGTTTATTTTAGTCGAGGATAGTTTATCAAAATTATCAAGACCATACGGGCTGTTAGTGTGAGTATTCCATATGAGTGATGTTACTGTGATGCTCTCACACACTGGGCACAGCTCTGCCAACCCGTTTAATCTTGGGCTGCATAACTCCAGATAATATTCACCGCCTGTTCGATATATGTGCGTCGCTGTTTCTTGAGAGAAATGTCCTAAACTGGGAAAGGAAACAAGCCAAAAAAATTTCATAACGAGCGGAAAAAGAAAGATGAGATCCCACGTTGGGGTGTCTTTTCGTTTCTGCGTTACGTCACGCGTTAAAATGACATCAGTTTTAGTGGTGAATTAATATCTTATTTCAATTTTTTGCATAAGATTTGCATAAGTATTATTGATTTTTCCTAAATGTTGCATGTATTTACTTTTTTTTTTTGCAAATTTCAGCATCAACCTCGCACGCGTCATCACGCGCTGCAGCAGCAAATGCAGCCGCTGCACTGATGAATTTAAATTTGACGCCACATCAGCAGCATGTGTTGCAAAGTGCAGCAAAAAGTGGATTACTGAATGCGGCTACAGCACAAGCACTGCTGCAACAGGCGCAGCAACAAGCGCAAGCAAACGGTATGTTTTTGAAACACTTTCAAGTAAGACTCAGTTTTGTGCAGGTTTTCCGTATTTGAAAGTTAGTAGTTATTTGAGTTTAAATCCTGAAATTTTGTTTTTCCCGGGGTTGCTGAGATCAGGCATCGTTTTAGCATAGCAACAAAATTTTACAGCGGTGCGAAGTTCATTGTGCGGGGTTTTCCTAATATTGTGGGGGGATTTTTTCACGGAATTTCCTGTGTGTTTATTATCTCGTAGCAAATTTGAATTGTTATATCTGGCGGAGCTATCGTTTCACCGCAGTGCTACTTCTCATCTTCGATGTCTAATCTGGCAGTGTCCAACAGTTTGCTTGGTTCTGAGCCCGTCCTGTCCGCATAACTCCATGTAGCCGTTCAGTTGAGAGACTTCTGGAATTTCTTCGAGTTTTTGCTTCTCATTGCATGCGACCGGTTTTCCATTCTTGCTCCTTTGCTTCATGCGTGTACCCTGTGGAATAAAAAAATATGTTAGAAGACAAAGCAAATTATATTAAAGAATTAGCAAAAGTTGTAAAATCTTGTAAAATATGTTATAGTGGTAGGGAATGTTTCGGTCCATTAATTCGAGCTCTGCATTTCTGTTAATTGCCGTTACAGGTCGCTTTACAGGTCGTTTGACGCAACATGCGGCAGCCTTAGCAACTGCGGCACTTCTCTCGCAACATCAGCAGCAACAGCAGCAGCAGCAACAGCAACAGCAACAGCAACAGCATTCACGAAGTGCCGTTGCGGCAGCAGCCCCAGCAGCCTCGAAAGAAACCTCGGCCCAGAAAGCCGCTGCCGCGAAGCTCGCGCTGCGACGACAACTGGAGCAACAGTTACTACAGGTAATGCCAGTGAGACTCAATAGGAATTCTTGATAACGCTACATGTTAACCTTGCAAAAGCTGCTCCCTCAACAGTTTTCCCTCTTTTTCTTTTACCCTTGTGATGCTGTAATTCATAGTTTAGCTTTGGTCAAGAATTGATTGTTTTGTATTTGTAACCGGTGCCTAGGTATGTCCAGCACGTCTGTTCCAGTTTCGTGTCGTGGTATTTCTGATGTTCCAGTAAAAATTTTTATGGGGAGACTGAAACACTCATTTAAAGATATGCGGCTCATAGTGCTTGGCTGGTGTAATTAAAAAAAGTGTACGGTCGCACCTGGTACTTGTTAAACCGAGTAAAAAAAGACTGTAAAAAAATCGCTGCCCTAACTTCCAGAACTTTTGAAATTTGAGGCTGATTCGGAGTGCTTTAAAAACTGCACCACTGCGCTGTAGATCGCAGGCTTTTGGAATTCCGGGAAACGGAATTCTTTCGATTTTGTTGAATTTCAGCAGAAATTTTTTTTGCCGAAATAGGAGCTTCACTAGAAATGCTCTACAGACTACCACGCGTTCACAGGGTTACTTTGTTTCATAGTGCTCAAGTAGGATAATCGTGATTATTTCCTCAAAGCTAGCGAAGGCAGTGTTTACCGATGTACAGTACTCAATAGGCAGTTGAGAAAGTTGACCCCTCCCTCTTCTGTGTTCACTGCGTGGGGGGCGGGGATAATCGCGAGTTGCTGCATTGGTAACAAGTACAGAGACCATTCGCTGACCAGCTTGTCGGTCGCTCTCTCTGTTGACGACTGCTTGGAAGGAAGCTGATGGGGGGGGAGGGGAGGGTATTCCACTAGTATAGGGGCGGAGGGAAGAGGAGGGGGCTAGATAACGTAATTCATAATGTGATCACGATGTTAGTAAAGCCAAATAATGATAATGATAATGATGGTGGTGATAATGATAATTTTCGCGCACACTAGAACTTTTTTCTATAACAAAATAATGCTTTTTTGAAAAAATATTGCTTAAAGATATGGTTTGCAGATTCCGGCGCCGCGTCTCCCGCCGCCCGAGATGCATTTCATTCCGAATAGCAATGTATTGGAGTTTCTTCCATTACTAGGATTAGATATTACTGTGCAGAGGTTGCTGAAAGACAAGACTGTTACAAAGTTAGTTTCGATTTTTTTTCCTTGATTGAATCAATGAATGGAGTGAATGTTTGAATTGATCAGTTGGTGCTCATTTGATCATATTTTGCTGTAACTTTATGCTGTATGATTCTTCTGAGGAAAATTTTGCGCTAAGGGAAGAGCGGACTTTTTTTTGAAAAAATTCAGTTTACGCTTCTGACTGTTACTAGTTTTTTTTAGAAAAGTGTATACGGCAGACTGACTCTCACACTACCTCCTGCGGTAGTTCGGAATGCATGCATCATGAAGTCAGTGAGTCAAAGGGCCTCTGTTCTGTTTCTTGGGCCCTGCGGTAACATTTAGTTGCATAAGGTGTTTAGTTTTCCAAAAACCTCAAGTTCATGTGCTTTACAATCTTGTGCACAATTTTTTTTTTTGTTATTTCTGCGAAGGTGCCATAATCGATGGGGTGAGAGCTGGAGAGGCGCTGGAGGGCCAGCTTTGGGAAGCCTGTGATAGAAATGAATACCATTAAAGTTCCAGAATTACAGTCCCAGAAGAGTCCGGTAACCCACAGATAACTGTCTTATTTTGTTCCAGACGTGCTTCCGTGGGGCCTTATTTATGCGAAGAATGTGGCACCGATTTTACTCCTGTATGGCGCGCAATCGGGGCGGACGAGAATTCACTCAATCTTTACTGTGATGCGTGTGTTAAAACAGCGCAAAAGAAGAAGATGCGTCAGGAGCATATGGCGCTGCTCAGGAAGGCTTTCAATAAAGTTGCAGAAAAGGAACAGGTGAGCAAGAAATTTTATTTTTCCACGTAAACTTCATAAAGTATCCAATAAGCGAACAGATTTCCCATATTCCTCGTCATCCAGTCGGTATCCCCTGTGCGCTCGCCTCTTTTCCTGCATTGTTTAAAAATGGTGCTTTTGCGAATTCAAAATGCAGGCTGAAACGGGCTCTTCGGTGCGATCATGCGTTTTTGCACTAAACTCGCAGATCGCTATTAGCAATAATGATCCCTACGCTGTAGTCTAACACTTGGGCTCATACTGGCCGTGCTTCGGCCCCTTCCGGCATGCAGGAGGAAGGGCATCAGTTGGGATGAAGGTGGTGCATTATAGAGCGGCACGGGCATTCAGGTGCACGATTACCGATTTTTTGCATGAAGTCCGGTCGTTTTTTTCGGTAAATGCTCGCCTTGTGAAAAAATGACAAATTCAAATTTTTTGAAAAAATGCTAATTTGCAGTTTACTAAAATGTGGAAGTGTTGCACGAGCGGTCGTTTATCAAAAAACCCACTTTCATTTGCATGTGCGATTGCGGTTAAGGTCCGAACTGCGAACGACTTTTTTAAAAATATGCAGATTTTCAATTCACTAAAAATTGAAAGTATTGCTCGAGCGGTCGTTTTTCAAAAAATCCATGTTCATTTGCATATACAGTTGCGGTTCAGGTCCGAGTTGCTAACAATTTTTTGGGTTGAGGAGCTGCTTGGGGCTGTGGTTGGAAAGCTAGAGAGCTGAGTTTAAAATTTTTATCTTGCACGTGCATAGAGAATATCCTTGTAAAGTTTCAGCTTTCCACGTTGCCTGGTCCGCGAAATCGTTTTCCGCCAACATATTTCTTTGGGGGTCCCGTACGGGAGGTCTAGGCATGTCTGAAAAAAGATTTTAGAACGGGAGGATGACACACGGGGTATGAACATATATTCAAAGTTTCAGCCTCCTAGCTTTCCTGGTTGCTGAGATGAAAGTGGGTGACAAAATGCACACGTTTTTTGAACGCACACACACAGACAGCCTCTCGACAATATGCGTTTTTGCTGGCTGTAGCAGCGCTATAGCGCTCTACATCAGCAATCGCGACCCCCGGTAAAAACAGCAATTGTGCGTCGAACAGGCGATGGATAGTAATTGGAGGCATGCAGCTCAAAACTGAAATTTCTCGCATAGCTGCTCTCGGCGTATAGGAGCATCCCAGTAAATCAGTAAAACAATGTACCTGCGCTGATAGTCTGATTGTTGGTTTTGGTATTATGGTTTCACCGGTCAGAGTTACTTCATCAGGTGGTCAGCTTGCGGGCGGTTCGTGCGCTCGTTTATTTCTTACTAACAGTGATATACGTATGAGATCAGTACTATGAAGTTGTTGGTATCACTGAGGGAATAGCTTATGAATGTAGTTTAATCGTTTAATGCAGTTTTGGAGCACTGTTTGCTGTATTGATATTCATAATTAGATCACATATTTGTAATTAGATTGCTGTATTGATTTCATAATTCTAATTAGGAGTTGGAGAAGCAAATAGCTGAGGGCAAGTTCGAAACAGCAAGGCCGTCATCTTCGACACCGCGGTCTTCAACTCCAGCTACACCACCTCATGCTGCTCCTTCGCTGAAGGCAACTCCTTCCTCGTCATCTGCCTCAAACATCCAGAAAGCTTCCACTTCTGCTGTGAGTAACATTTCTATTCTTTTTTTTTTTTTGTTTTTTTTTTTTTCATTTTTATTCTTTCCGTATTTGTTGAACGAAAATGATGGGTTGCTGCGGTCACCTGTTACCCGAAAAGGTGATTCTTCAGCTATGCAGCTGGCGACTTTTCTACTTGCTTTGAGTAGTGTTGTTTCGTCCCGAGGTCAGTAGGTTAGCATTTTTAACGTTTCTGTGCAACTGTCATTGTTGTTAAAAGTGAAACGCACTTTATTGTGAGACTGCATCTTAGTATTAACAAAAGTGACGAAGCTTGAAAGTTATGTGTACTTCGTTTCCAGGCAAGCAGTCATCACCATCAGCAGCAGGTGCATCATGCACAGCGTCAGCAGCAGCAACAACAACAACAGCAGCACCACCAAAACAAATCAGGCGGTCACAAGCGTCCAGCAGCAGCATCGGCCAGCAGTAATTTGAATTCAGCTGCACCGCAAGCTGTGGCGCAGAATGCAGCAGTTGCTGCAGCAGCACTTGCAGCTGCTGCAGGTGGTGGGACGGGTAACTTTTTGCAGCAACAAATGGCTGCAGCTGCATTGAGGCAGACCAATCCGATGCTTGCTGCAATGATGGCAAATCCTTTGCTCAATGCGCCAAATATGTTACAGGTTGGTCGATTACTGCAGGTTTTTTGCAATATTCTAAACTTTCTGTTTCTTACTTTGTTGAGAGCTGATGGGCAACGTTGAATGTTAGCGAAGGGTACTTGCGGGGAAGAAGATGACTATTTCTTGGGTTAGCTGTAGTTCATGACGCAGTTCTTTAACTATGCAGTTGCCAGCTTTTCCAGTTTCTCTATGCACTGCCATGGGCATAGGCGGGTCCAGGATAGACTTCTGAGGAGGGAGGGGAAGGGGACAACGGGGAGTGAGGAGGAGAACCCTGGAACTATGGAAAAATTAGGAATAGAGTTGTAACAGCGTTACTTAGAGTTACTCTAGTTTTACTTATGAACAGATACGGGCTTTTGCGGCACTAGTATCTGTGCCGCTGAGGGGACCCTTCGCCCCCTCCCCCGTTCCCATCCTTCTGGTTTCACCTTTGGCCTTGGGTGATTAGCATGCTAGCGAAATTCATATCTAGATCAACAAAATTACCAGATCTAAGGCCCACACGATTTTCAACCCACTGGGCGCGTGACAGGACTGCAGAAAGATTGACTTGGGCCATAAAAGGATAGGGTGTCACGGGAAAGTGCCGAGTTATATCAGCGACAAAGATTTGAGTTACTAAATCATTTTCTTACATTAAATCACCTACCGTTTCATTGCAGCGTGTCTTCGTGACATCGAAGCAGCCCTCAGTTCTCACGCGGTTGCTTTGACCAAAGCTGCGTCACTGGTGCTCAGCACAGTCATGATTTGACTTTGCTTCTCTTTTCTATTCGCCGCTTTTGTGATTTTTTAACCTATTTAATAAAATTTGTTCATGGTGACTATCACACTGACGTTAGGGGAATAGTCATACAGAAATTCCTAGTGGTGCAGTTTTTCAGATTTTCGGATTCGTACTTGAGAAGACCACGTTGGTCCTCGAGTGTGCATCTTGGGCATTTCACTAGCTCATTTTTTCATATTTCAGTTTCAGTGGAACCCGTTGGTGCAGCAGCGCTTACCGAACCTGGCGATGGCGGCACTTGCGCAAGCTGTACAAAATGCACAGCAAAGTGGCGCTGCTGCAACAAATGCTACAACGACACAAAATGCAGCAGCTGTGGCAGCAGCGGCAGCCGCAAATCCACTTGCAGCATTTGCGGCATCGCTCAATCCGGCCACAGCGGCTGCGATGCTCAGCAGTAGTCCACAAATGGTTCGGCAGCTACAGCAACTGCAGCATGCAATGCACAGAAATTTTTTGCTCGAATATGCAAAGAACCAGGGAAAAAAGTGAGTTAGAATACTCCTCTCGCCCTTGCCTTGCTTGGCCGGAGCCCAAAGTCTGAGCTAGTTTCATCGTTAGCCTAAGCCGGCATGGAAATGGGATGAATATTGTCCTGAAATGGGGCTTATACCATTCTGTCAGTGCAGTGTTTTGTGATGGATTCGGTTTAACTATTACTTTTTATTTTACCTTAGATATTTTACTGGTCTGAATTAAAACGGCGAAGATTTTTTAAGTTTCAGATCTTCAGACCTCACACATTTCTATATTTATTACAAAATTTGCATATTTATACATTTCGAAATTTAAAGAAATTCTTGCGTACTTGCATTTTCCAGATTTTTCATTTTGTGGAGTGCTTGTGTCAGGTGCTTTATAAATTAGCTGTGCTTGTGCGAGATAGGATTGATAAGGGTAGACGGGTCGGGAAGGTAGCCTTAGAGAATTCCATTGTTGGTGTGGCTTCCGCGTTGTGTTCTGTGTACGGTCGCTCGTTACATTGATTAATGTTAGCTTTTTCTGGATGTTAAGCGAACAGTGTCGGGTTCTTATGTCTGTATATATATTTATCTTCGCAACTGTTTTCCTTTTTTTTGCATGGTTTCTGATTCGTTGGTGGTGGAAAGGAAATAAAGTAATTTTAAATCGAGGAAATGAATTCTCTAAAAACGCCGGAATGAGCAGAGGAGGGCGGCTGTATGGGGGAAGCAGGATTTACAATTTAGCAATTCTTTTTTGAAAGACCGAAATCAGACGTCTTCTGCGAGTTTTTAAAAAATCTAGCGTTTTAAAGAGCATGTGCAATTTACCAACCGTAGGAAAATTGGTTGCGTTTCGCCAGGGATAATGGTACCTTTGACTTCTGGGTTAGGAGCGCAATTATTGGCGAAGTGGTGAACCACAAAAAAATTTAATTATACTACACGAGAGTGGTCTTAATTATATTATGCATGGGCGTAAAGAACGTTTGCCTGTGTTTTAACCTGAATTTCCCTCTCCCAAAAATCAATCAGCTCCCTGTGACTGAGTATCTTTGTGCCTCTTCTGGAATTCCAGCATGTTTGAAGCACAGCTTCTGTGAGCTTTTCTGTGCTAGATTTTTAAGACCTTTGTGGCCTCTCCTTCTGCACGAGCTTAGTAGTGCAACAAAATTCGGAGAAATGTCTTCTAAGTCTGCAAGAATATTAAAGCCAATGATTGCCTAAACGATGTATTAGCGGACCACGCAGAGCGGTTCTTATCAAGTCTGGCTAAAAAGTATTTGGATATTTTAGTGCTTTGAACAGCTGCAGTTTATCGCTTGGCTCTCCGTCGTTGTTACCTGTTGTGGTTCTGGTTGCTTCAAGCAGTGCTGCTTTGCCTGTTGGTGAGCTAGCTATTTGCGATAGCGGTGCATTAGTTGTTTCAAAAATTACAAGTTTTCGCCCTACTCTTACGATTTTCAGAAGTCAGAGTTTCTCTTTTATTTCATTCCGCGTAAGGGAAGGAATCTTGCGCCGGTGAGGTTGACGGTGTTCCCCTGAGTTTTATTTAGGAAGCATTTTGAGGGCAGTCCCGCCGGCTTGTCCAGTCGATGGTTGATATTCCCAAAAGACCTACCATGAGGAGTGCCTTTAACAGGGTTTCAATATTTCATTCGTCTACATTGTTCGAGTTTTGTTTGAATTTCGCTTCACAGGTTTCCTCTTCTGTGTGGGTAATTTATCATTTCTAATATATATATATATATATATATATATATATATATAGTTCATTGG